TATATATTTTTTGTAGAGATTGGATCTCACTGTGCTGCCCAGACTGGTCTTGAACTCCTGGCCTCAAGCGATCCTCCTGTCTCAGCCTTCCAAAGTGCTGGGATTACCACCATGAACTACCATGGCTGGCCCAGCCTCCCTTTTGCTATATATGAGCTTTAGTCTTGGCGAAGCAATTGCCCCAGTAGGGTCAGCAACTCAGGAGTTGGTGACACAGAAAAGGAAGAACCTCGTAAACCCTGTTATGTCTTTGGTGGCAGTAGCTGTTGCAGTCGTGTTTTCCTAGGACCAGTTCTGCTGCAATTTTGAAGGTCTTTCCTAGCTGTGTAGCCTATAAATTGGGTTCGCTGACAATTGTTTTCCACCAAATATCTTTTCATACATGTATTTTTTACTTAAATTAGCCAAAGTAGGTTTTTGTTGCTTCCAACTAAGAACCCTGACTGGGAGGGAAAATACCTACAAAAAACTTGTGCAATTATAGTTACTTTAAGGTAGCTGATCACAAGTGAATCTTGTTTTCTCTTAATTTACACATGAAGTTTTAAAATGTTTTAGGCTTACTTTGTGAGACATGTAGACAGTACAGATTCTAAATAATAATTATTTCATTTTAGTATTTGCATTTAAAATTTTCAGTGTGCTTTATGGACCATGTGCTGCTATGTATGCCTGAAGTACTTGAAATGCAAATTCGGGGAGACTTTGCCATCTAAATGCTTGGCTGGATTAAGCGCCTAATTAGGATGGTTTTTCAACAAGTTGGAGTCAGCATGCAATCGGTGAGTGCTCAAAATTCATTTTCAAAATCCAGACATTTAGATATTTTAAGAATTTTTTTCTGAGAAAATGGAATCTATGTATGACCATCTTGAATTCAATATGTTTATGTACAGTTTAATTTGCTTACTATTTAAATCACAGAAGTGAATCTTTTTTCCCAGCATGCTAAGTAAAGGGGTAACTTTGTGGATTACATTCTAAACTTACCAATATTTGTGTAACCATTAAAGCCAATGTATTCATTGTTAGTGAGGAAGAGGCTTAAAGAGAAATCATTTAATAAAGTATGCTGGACTAACACTTGACAACTCCGAATGTTGTAGGATTATTAATATTGAATGCTGTTATAATGCAGATTATCACACAATTATTTAAAGTAAAAAGCCAGTCATGTCTCCTAAAATATAATACTATAGATAAGAAAAAACTTACACAATTGTTCTATGCCAGAGTTGTTAATTTTGATCTTGACATTTTTATAAGTATTTTCTATTGATATATAAAGTTTGTTCAGATCTACTGTAAATTATTAGAGCAATTGTACCAAACACATTTTGTAGAATACTTGTTATTCATTTTCAAATTCAGTGTTTTGCTGGCTATGACACGGAATTAAGTTTTATTTATTAAAGGTATACACAGGTTATGTAATTTGAATATGGATATACTTTTTAATGCACTACTCTCACTTTTTTTGTGAGTCTTAACTTGGAATCTTCCCAATCCCCAAGGTTACATATATTTTCTTTGGAGATAAAAAGCAGAGAGCCAAATAAAATTATCTTTCTCTACACCCGCATAATTTTGAGAGTATTAGCTTGATGATAAGCAATAGAAAAATGACTTGTAAAGTTGTTGGAGTTTTCATCTTTTTCAGATACACGTCCTTATGTTTTGAACTTAGTGCAGTTGTACCACCTTTCTCATTTGTTATTTGCCACCATTTGGCTACACAGGGTGGATTAACATTTTAATACTGGCAGCAAAAGAGTTTCTTTTTCTCTTGCTTTTAGAAAGAAGGGAAGCTTTTGTTATTTATGATTCCCAAAAAGCGAAGCTTTATGATTTCTGTTGATTGTAACTCCAATAAGAAGTATAGTTTAATTGAAAGATTGTGGGTCCTGAATTTAAGTAACCCTGGATCCGAAATTTGTCTCTGCCAGTTATTCTCTTCATCTACAAAACAGGAATGAGAACTGCTGCTGCACAGTTAGCCTGTGGGTTAGATGACAGTGTATTGAAGCACCTAGCACAGTGGCTTGTGCGATGTAGGTACATTCAATAATGTTTAGTTTAATGGATAAAGTTTCCTGTGTTTTTGCTGTTCCACCAGCACCCTGCCCCAAGTCAGGTTAATGAGGGTACTGCTCATTGACGCCAAAGTGCAGAATTCTGTTTCAGATACAGATAACACTTTATTTAGCTTGTTCATTTATTTAGTTTTATTCATTTTAAGCTGCAAAATGGGTGACTTTCATCAGTGAATGGACCAGCTAAGAGAGGATTAACTTGCTCAAAATATTGTAATTGCAGCTGAGGGCTTTTCCTACTAATAGTGGATGAACAGAACCTTTTTTTTTAATGTATGGAGGCTAATATATAATCATCATCAATTAGCTGAAAATCTATATAAAAACAAGTTTTCTTCTAACATAAAACAATTTGATCTTTTGGGGTTATTTTCTATTTTAATTTCCAAAATTTTTTAGTTTACTGCCTAAGAATAAAAATAGAGGTACAGTCCACCAAGATTTTACCTTTGGGTACCTGAAAATAAAAGAAACATTCTTAGCTCTACCTTTTGATGATTAACATATATTTTCCCCAACAGGAATGTTAACTCTAAAAAAGGTGTGTGTGTGTGTGTGTGTGTGTGTGTGTGTGTGTGTGTGTGTATATATTTTTTTTTTTTTCCCCAATGATTTGACATATACAGGCATACCTTGGAGAGATTTTGGGTTCAGTTTTAGACCACTGCCATAAAGCAAATATTGCAATAAAGTGAGTCACATGAATCTCTTGATTTTCCAGTGCATATAAAGTTATGTTTATACTGTACTACAGTCTGTGAAGTGTGCAATAGTATTACCTCTAACAAAACAATATATATGCCTTAATTAAAAGTACTTCATTGCTTAAAAAAAAAAAAAAGCTAATGATCATCTGAGCTTTCAACAAGTCCTAATCTTTACTGCTGGAAGGTCTTGCCTCAATGTTGATGGCTGCTGACTGATCAGGGTGGTGATTGCTGAAGGTTGGGGTGGCTGTGGCAATTTCTTAAGACAATAATGAAGTTTGCTGCATCGATTGACTATTTCACAAGAGATTTCTCTGTAGCGTGTGACGTTGTGTGATCTTATCCACAGTACAACTTCTTTCAAAATTGGAGTCAGTCCTCTCAAACCCTGATGTTGCCTTATCAGCTAAATTTATGGAATATTCTAAATCCTTTGTTGTCATTTCAGCAGTTTTCATAGCATCTTTACCTGGAGTAGATTACATCTCAAGAAACCTCTTTTCTTTGCTCATCCATAAGAAGCAACTCCTCATGCATTTAAGTTTGATCATGAGATTGCTGCAATTCAGTCACATCTTGAGGTTTCCCTTCTAATTCTAGTTCTTTTGCTATTTCCATCACATCTAAAGTAACTTCAGATCTAAGAGGGTTGGAACCAACTTCTTCTAAATTTCTGTTAATGTGGATATTTTAACCTCCTCCTATAAATCACGAGTGTTCTTCATGGCATCTAGAATGGAGAATTCTTCCCAGAAGTTTCTCATTCTGCGTTGCCTACATCCATCAGAGGAGTCAGTCTCTAAGGCAGCTATAGTCTTTAAAAATGAATTTCTTAAATAAGAAGACTTGAAAGTTGAAATTACTCCTTCAACCAGGGGATGCAGAATGGATGTTGTGTTAGCAGGCATGAACATAATGTTAACCTCCTGTGCATGTCCATCAGAGCTCTTGGGTGACCAGGTACATTGTCAATGAGCAATGATCTTTTGGAAAAAATCTTTTTTTTTTTTTTTTTTTTTTTTGAGACAGAGTCTCACTCTGTTTCCCGGCTAGAGTACAGAGTGCAGTGGTGTTATTATAGCTCACTGCAACTTCAAACTCCCGGGCCCAAGTGATTCTCCTGCCTCAGCCTCCCAAGTAGCTGAGACTACAGGCACGTGCCACCATGCCTGGCTAATTTTTCTATTTTTTGTAGAGATGGGGGTCTCGCTCTTGCTCAGGCTGGTCTTGAAGTCCTGGTCTCAAGCAGTACCCCCACCTTGTCCTCCTAGAGTGTTAGGATTACAGGCATGAGCCACCGTGCCTAGCCTGGAAGGAATTTTTTTTCTGAGCAGTAAGTCTCAACAGTGGGCTTAAAATATTCAGTAAACCATGCTGTAAATAGAGGTGCTGTCATCCAGGCTTTGTTGGTCCCTTGATAGAGCACAGGCAGAAGAGATTAAGCATCATTCTTAAGGGGCCCAGGCTTTTGGAATGGTTAAGTGAGGACTGGCTTCAACTTCAACAGTCTAACAAGAGAGTCAGCCTGTCCTTTGAATCCAGGCTTAACTTCTCTCTAGTTATGAAAGTTCTAGATGGCATCTTCTTCCAATAGAAGGGTGTTTCATCTACATTGAAAATCTGTTTAGTGTAGCCACTTTCATCAATTATCTTAGCTAGATCTTCTGTCTGGCTTGCTATAGCTTCACTATCAGCCCTTGCTGTTTCATCTTGAAGGCTTCTTTCTTTCAACTTTTATGAACTGCTGGCTTCAGCAGTTCTCTGCTAGCTTCAGACTTTTTTTTTTTTTTTTTTTGCCTCTTCCTCACCTCTTTCAGCCATTATAGAATTGGAGAGAGTTAGGGCCTTGCTCTGGATTAGGCTTTGGCTTAAGGGCATGTTGTGGCTGCTGCTTTTTTCTTTCTTTCTTTCTTTCTTTTTTTGTTGTTGTTGTCATAAGGTGTCCCATGTATGTGACTGGTTTGATATTCTATCCAGACCACTAGAACATTCTACATATCAGCAATAAGGCTATTTCGCTTTCTTATCATTCATGTGTTTACTGGAGCAGCACTTTTAATTTCCTTCAAGAACTTTTCCTTTGCATTCACAACTTGGCTGACTGGTGCAAAAAGCCTTTGGCCTCTTTCAGCTTTTGATTAGCCCTCCTCACTAAGCTTAATCATGTCTAGCTTTTGATTTAAAGTGAAAGATGTGCAACTCTTCCTTTCATTTGAATAATTAGAGACCATTGTAGGGTTATTAACTGGCCTAATTTCAATATTGTGTCTCAGGGGATAGGGAGGACCAAAGAGAAGGGTGAGAGACGGGGGAATAGCTGGTCAGTAAGGCAGCCAGAACACACACATTTATCAATTAAATTCAGCGTCTTATGTGGGCATGGTTTGTGGCACCCCAAAACAGTTACAATGGTTATGTCAAAGATCACTGATCAGAGATCATTATAACAGATATAATAATAATGAAAAAGTTTGAAATATTGCAAGATTTACCAAAATATCACACACAGACACAAAATGGGCATATGCTGTTGGAAAAATGGCACTAATAGACTTGCTTGTAGGGTTGCCACAAACCTTCAATTTGTTAGAAGTGCACTGTGTGCAAATGGCAATAAATTAAGTGGAATAAAAGAAGATATGCCTGTAATTGAATTTGATGCTGTGCTTGAAACCATTCCAAGGGCAGAAACTGCCTTCATTTTTTTGATGTTTTACCTGCTGTTTAAAAAAAATGATGCAAACTTTTTGTCTGTGTTCAATAGAAAAACACTCTTCACCAATAAGAAACTTGAGGTTTAGTGTGTTTGGTCAGCCTTGACCAAAGTTACCTAATAAATGGTGGAGCTATAATATGCACCCAGTTCCGATAGCAAAATCTTTCCTCTTTTTAGTGTACTTTACTACCTCTTATAGAAGAAGACTGTTAATGTTTATTAAAGACATATTATAAATACTTTAACTCATTTAGTGCTCGTAGGCTCACGGAGTAGATATTTTCCCATTTTATAGATGAGAAAACAGGTGCACAGAGGGATCAGTAACTTGGCCAGCTTTATACAGGCAATCAATTGGTAGAGGCTACGTTTGAAGCCAGGCCTGTGGCTACCGTGGCCTATGTTTTCTCTTCACTGCCTTCCATTTTGCCTCAACATTAGCTTGAATTAAAAATCATGTGTTCACATATATCCAGACTTTCTTCTCAATCTATTATTATATTTATGTCCCTAAGCAAAAATGATTTTAAACTAGAGAAAGTAAGACTAGGGAGAACTTAATGTGATTCTGATTCATCTCAGTATTTTATATTGGAAAAAAAGTAACAGCAAGTATCTAATTTATAATAGCAATATAGTAGTACATAAAAATTGTACCCTGGTTTTCCTTTTGTACTTTGCAGGAGGAATGTGACTGTGCCTAGGAATCTAGAGTAAGGAAGAAGAGAACTGTGGGAAGTGTTAATCTTCAGTTAAGGGATTTTTGAAATTGTTACAGAGTTTGATCTTCTGATATCTGCTCCTTTCTTATACATAAACAATTTTGTGTGTAATTTCAAGGATACGTGAACCTCTGCATCAATATAACATAGTTTGTCTTGAAAAACATAAAACACACACACACACACACACACACACACATACATACATACATACATACATACATACACACACACACACACACACACATACATTATGGATACAGGGTCTTGCTCTGTCTCCAAGGCTAGAGTGCCATGGCGTCAGCCTAGCTCACAGCAACCTCAAACTCCTGGGCTCAAGTGATCCTCCTGCCTCAGCCTCCTGAGTAGCTGGGACTACAGGCATGCACCACAACACTCGGCTGATTTTTCTATTTTTAGTAGAGACAGGTGGCGTCAGCCTAGCTCACAGCAACCTCAAACTCCTGGGCTCAAGTGATCCTCCTGCCTCAGCCTCCTGAGTAGCTGGGACTACAGGCATGCACCACAACACTCGGCTGATTTTTCTATTTTTAGTAGAGACAGGGTCTCACTCTTGATCAGGCTGATCTCAAACTCCTGAGCTCAAGCAGTCCTCCTGCCTCAGCCTCTCAGAATGCTAAGATTACGGGCGTGAACCACCATGCCCAGCCAAAAAACAAGTGTTTACTTAGAATTTAAATTTATAGTTTTTCCTGCTATATAGTTCCTCAAAAAATAATATAGATTAAACTAGTCTATAACAAATGATTTACCACATAAAGCTTGAGTGCAGTCACCATGGATGAGACAGATGACAGCTTCAGATTTTAGCCGTACACATCAACACTTCCTCTGTAGCATTTTACAATGTTAAAAAAGAGCAAATTGCTTTTCTGTTGTCATCCTCCTTGCTGTCATCACTTTCAAACACTGTTGCTAAATGTTATGGACTGCCATTACTAGACACACAGATTACTGCACACACACACACACACACACACACACAGATTCACTATTAGATTATTTAAAAGCAGTTTTTGTAGATAAAGCGTAGTTTTTCTGTTATTTCTTAATGGTGTGAAATGTCTTATTTCTTAATGAAATCGAATTATCTAGTAATGACAGTTTTCTCCCTGCCTTCTCTTTTACATCTGAAGAAATATTAATGACAGTTTATCTTTAGAGGAAGTCTTCCCTTCTCTAAACCAATATACTGACAAGACACAGTTCAGTCACAAGTTAGGATAGGAGATGCTCTTGGGTCACATAGCCTCCCAGTGCACAGATGGTGACTCTGCAGTACCATCTGTTTACTGTTTCTTCACAGCCATTTATAATTTCTTCCCCTCTATGAGGGCTGAATAGAAAAAATAGAAAAAAGTAGTCAGACCTAGTTTTAGAGTTCCTAGAAGTTAGCTATTCTTTCCCCTCACTTTTTCCTACTATTCCAATAAAGGTTCTGGCTCTTCTTTCTAAATATTCTAGTCAGTTTACACAGACCTTTGCTTCATATTTCTTTGTACTAAGTACTATGCAATGCACAAATAACAGAAGAACACATTATGTTAGTCTGTTGTGTAGGCTTGAAAAAATAATCACATAAAGCAATCTGTTCTTTTCCTTTAAAACTTTGTAGAAGAAACCTAAATAGTCTACTTATTCCTTATAATTAAAAGCTGTATCCTTGGCCACTTCTTTTATAGAAGGCACCTGGTATTCTTTCCTTCTGATATTAAACAGATGGAAAGATAATAGTTGAAACTTAGCCCTGCAGCATGCCTAGTAAGGAATGCTAAAAGCTGGCACAGAAACATTGGTTTCTGACCTTGGCAAATCTTTTCTAAATTTTTCTTTGTGAGCTTTTTGTCCTCTTCATCTTCAGGCAAGATCTTTGCTTACTGGAGGAGAGAGAGAGAGAGAGAGTTTCACTTTAGACTCTGTAATTGTCACATTATGATGCAAAATAGCATTCTATTTGTGCTACATCATAGGAGAGTTTTGACTTATGATGAAATTGAATACTCAAGAAGAGAAATGACTGAATGGTATAGTTACTTTTGCCCTATGGGTTTGTTTTTAACAGATCAGGACCTATTAATAGAATGTATAAGGTAAAAACTTTGCTTAAATATTTTCTGTTTTAGAATTTGCTCACATTCTGTTTTGGGAACAGCGGGAGCTCTTATGTTGACTTTGTAGAACTATGAGCCTCCCCTTTTTCCTCTAGTCAGATGTTTTTCCTTTTCTTAGTCCTAACGTGTTATTAAGGCTATTTGTGTGATAATCCTCTGTATGATCACTGATGTGAATGATGTTTTACTCTAAGCTTCAGAGTAACTTTGCCTCTTATATTTTGTATACTATTCATATTTTAATATTGATATCTTCCTATCTTTCTACTGACCCATTTTCCAATCTGTACTATCCTCTTAATTTACATTTCCAAAGCAAGCGTTATAGTTTTTGTTGGTTATTGTAGCCAGTTTATTATAGTACTTTCTGTAACTCTCCTAGGTAAGAGTCAGCAAAACCTTGAAACAAAGTTAAATGATAAAATTTATATAAAAGCTGTGGCAGATGCCAGGGGTATTATATATACCTCTGTAAACCCCACTTTGATTCGTATTGTAATCCTTAAATTAGATTTGGTTGCTAAAATCTAAGAAATGAGATTGCTTCCATGCTCATTTTATAAGTTGTGCATGCTTCTAGAAGATCCACAGGTTTAGTTTGGGTTAGGTTTTGGAGCCACCACTGTTTACAATGACCAATTGCTTGATCATATTGTTTGCATTTGGGTAATTCTGTTCTTTAAGTTAGAATGGTCATTGACTAACCTTAAAAAGGGGATGATGTCCATTGCTTTAGAATCCATATCTGGCTGATGTGATACTGTTTATAGTCTTTGGGATATAATTGAATGTTAAAGCTTGGTGAGCTAAGGATAATGGTCATCTCATTCTCATTCTATTCTTTTAAAAGTGCTTTTAATAGCATGCTACCTTTCTTTTACCTCTTCTGTCCAGGCTTTCAGGTGTAGCACCCAAAACAGGAGGATAGTTTTTCTCTTTAAGGAAAGATCATATACTTGAGAAGAAGGTTCAAGGTACAGTTTGTAATGATTTAACATTCTACATGTGTGTTTTCTGTTTGCTTTCTACTTTGAGAGTTTGTTTTTATTTTTGCTTTAAGCATAGCATAAAGTCCTGTGTATATTAGGATTTAGTCTGAGAAATTCTCATTAGGGCTGCCACTAGCCCATTTAGCGCCTTTCCTCTGGGGACAAGGCCTCCTGAGACAATGCAGTACCCAGTGAGCAGTGCACCTGGATTTTAGCCCCCACTCACTCACCATTGGCCAGGCACTGCCGTGCAGCAAACGACATGCAGCACCCTGCATGGCACACATTCAAATTCTAAACTTCATACTAATTTGGAATTGTTTTGAAAAGTCCATTACAGCAAAAGTAGCCTATTTTTTTTTAAAGAAATACATATATTTAAACTCTAAAACTAAAAATGTAGCACAAGAGGCAAAATAGTGTTTCTTTTGCAGAATAGTATGAAAACATGATGAAAATAAAGTTTTTACTCCAAATATAGTATTTTTAAAAAATTACTAGTTATTCTTTGTTTTAATATTATGTAATACCTTACATTAAACTTTATTGCAGTAATAACAACTGGAGATACATATTTTTAAATTTTCAATTGAGAAATACCAGCTTATTTCCCATAACATTTAGAGCATTGCAATCCTGTAATTAATGTGTTAGCATGTCTTGCAAATAATTGTCTAATGCTTTGTGTTAACAGTTCTCTAACTCTTGTAATTAAGCTTTTGATTTTTCCTACTTCCTCAGGTACTTTGGTCTGGGAAGCCATATGGTTCATCTCGAAGTATCGTAAGGAAAATTGGAACTAATTTATCTCTTATTCAGTGTCCAAGGGTTCAATTTCAGGTACTGTGTTTACATATTTCAAATTTTTATGTTAATATGTACATTAGAAATATAAACAAGCAAGATGGTTGTAAAAGTATTTTCTTTGTTTTTGAGCCTTTTCCCCCATTGTGCCACTATCAAAATAAAAAGGCTTAAGAACCACAGTAGAATCTTTCTAACTTTAGTTCCTCTGTGAAGTGATTATTCAAGGTCTTCAAGACATTTATCCTTCTTAAGACTGCATATGTGAAGATTTAGAACCACATAGTAAGCTAAGCAGTCGTTAATTCCCAGGTGACCTTAAACATAGGCCTTATGTTACTTTCAAGTGCTTTATTTTTCTTTTGCCGTTACACCTTCCTCTTTGGACAGCCACTCTGTTCCCTTAGTTTGTTTTTAGATGTCTCTGTGAATACCATATAAGTTGCTTTCTCTATCATTGGTTTCAAGCTCAGCATTAATTGTAGGATCCATTGCCTTGGCAATGACAGTGTCAAGACAATGAGGTAACTCTAGTTCTCTCAATGAAGTGATAGTCAAACCCTGAATTAGGAGAGCTTTTGAATGCTTACATCTTAGTACGGTATTCTCTTCTAGTGCCAAATCAGGAGCAGCTCTACTCTTTGCTTGGAGATTATTACTATTTTCTTTGATTTTGGCTTTTGTTTCTTACTGTTATTGTAATGTTAGACATGTATCACATAGCTTTGTTCTTATTTTTTATAATTCCCTACAACAGTCATATGACAAAACATTTCAGTTCAACATTACATAATATAAAATTCAACAGATATCTATACCAATTTTAAATAATAGATTAGCATGTGGAGATGTGGAACATGTATTTAACTTATCATTCAGAAGTTCAGAAGTGCCCATGCACACTTATTTGATATCATGTTGTACTCATAAATCACTTCTGGTAAATTGTAATAAAAATCTATTTCTAGGCCAGGCGTAGTGGCTCATGCCTGTAATCCTAGCACTCTGGGAGGCCGAGGTAGGAGGATTGCTTGAGCTCAGGAGTTCAAGACCAGCCTGAGCAAGAGCAAGACCCCATCTCTACAAAAAATAGAAAAATTAGCTGGGCATTGTGGTGTGCACCTGTAGTCCTAGCTACTTGGGAGGCTGAGGCAGGAGGATCGCTTGAGCCTAGGAGTTTGAGATTGCTGTGAGCTAGGCTGACAGCATGGCACTCTACTCAAGGCAATAGAGTGAGACTCTGTCTTAAAAAAAAAAAAAATCTATTTCTAAATAAGTGGTAGAAGTTAGCATTTATTCAGTTTGACTAACAGGTTGTTCGTTGCTGTGTTCATATTCCTGCTTGCAGATTGACTGTTTTGTGCATCAGTCTAGAAACTGAAAGATTGGAACTTTCCAAGAATTAAATTTTTATCAAATCTTAGACTTTTAAAAAATATAATCAAAATGAAGAAATCTGTGGTAGTAAGTCTCTCCAGTACAATTTCCAAGAATTCAGTTCATTTAGACATGAATTACTGTTTGCTATATTTGCCAACTTCCTTCAGATAACTTACTGTGTTAATTAAGGCTTATTAACTTTTTTCTGATTGCTCATTGCCACTAAAATTTTCTTTATATTTAACATACTAGTTGCAGGAGAACTTGCTTCAGCACTTGTGTTCATGTAGCTAGAGTTATGCGAAAGGATGTGGAGATATCTAATGTGTTCTGACTGCAACCCAGATCTACCTTGGCAGTCACCGGGCTAATGTGCTACAGCCAAATACATTTACTTGGGAGGGTTCTCATTCTCAGTGTTATTACTGGCCACTGAAAGAGGGTATGAGCAGAAAAAGAGTATTAGATTTAGTATAGGAACTGTATTTGAAAAGAAACGAATTAACATAAGGAGAAGAGTAAGTTAAGGGAAACGTTGGTGACCTACTTGAGAATGTAGTGGAAGATGGAAGCCATTTATTTATAGTGAGATTTTTATTTCCAGGCATACTGAGTCTTTTAAAATTGAGTGTTAAAGTGAGTATTTTGTCTGCTACTTAGATGTTTAAATCTGCTATTATTCCTCTATATCTCTATTTTTTGTCTATCAGAAATATAAAAAATACAGCATCTTCCAAAAATATAGAGGATGTAGTTTAGAGTAATATAATTGAAAATGTATTTTTGCTATTTTTATGGCTCATTTGGAGGCTAATTGATTTGGGATGTATCTGAGCTATCTAGGACTTTGACACAGGTAAATAATATAGACAGTTTGAGACTGGGTAACCACTATGGGGCCCAGGGCGAGTAGACATCATTATACTAAGGCCATATTCAGGAGAGAGAAGTTGAAATAGATTAAACTGAGAGTAGGACGTGCACGGGGTCAATTTACAAACAGGAGTTAGGTAGTCAAAACCAGTCTCCCCTTGTCCCCGATGATTTTAGTGTCTTGGAGACGCATCTGAAACGTAGCTTCATTTTTTGTTGCTTTCTTTCCTCCTGTTGACTTTCACTTCCTTTCCTAGTACCCACATGATTGGCAGCAGCTCAATTCTGTCACTCTCAAAATAGTTTCACCTCTGAAATCCTAAACCTTGGGATATTCCTTCCATGCCAGGTATGGTGGCTCATGCCTGTAATCCTAGCATTTTGGGAGGCCATGGTGGGAGGACCGCTTGAGCCCAGGAGTTCAAGACCAGCCTGGGTGACATAGCAAGACCCCATCTCGTAAAAAAAAAAAAAAATTAGCCAGATGTAGTGGCATGCTTCTGTAGTCTTAGCTATTTGGGAGGCTCAGGTGGGAGGCTCCCTTGAGCCCAGGAGTTTGAGGGCACAGTATCACACCACTGCACTCCTGGGTGACAGAGTGAGACCCTGTCTCTAAAAAAATAATAATAATACATATAAATGAAATATTTTTATATGTATATATATGAATATATATTTATATATACATATATATGTAAAATATATGTATTTTTTCCTTCTAAATCTGCAGTTCCTAACCCCAGGGCAAGTCTGTGGCCTGTTAGGAACCAGACCACACAGCAGGAGGTGAAACAGTGGGCAAGCGAGGGAAACTTCTGTATTTATTGCTCCTCATGGCTTGCATCATAGCCTGAGCTCTACCTCCTGTCAGATCAGCAGCGTTAGATTCTCATAGGACCATGAACCCTACTGTAAACTGCACATGCAGCAGATCTAGGTTGTGTGCTCCTTATGAGAATCCAATGCCTGGTGATCTGAGATGGAGCTGAGGCGGTGATGCTAGTGCTGGGGAGTGGCTGCAAATACAGATTATCATTAGCAGAGAGGTTTGACTGCACAATAAATGTAATGTGCTTGAATCACCCTGAAACCATATCCCCACCCCCACCCTACCTGCCTGGTCCATGGAAAAATTGTCTTCCATGAAACTGGTCCCTGGTGCCAAAAAGGTTGGAGACCGCTGTTCTAGATCACATCTTTTCACTATACCTGTAGGAAGACTCCTATATAAGTGATAGGAGACAGGCACATTACTTGGTGTAGTGAACATTAGTCAAGATTATCCATGTGACGTCCTGAGTATGACGACTGATCATCCATAGGGAGTGCACAATAGAAGTGCTCCTGGTGGTGACGATTTTGTTCTTATTATTGCTATTGCCATTTTACAGTTTCAGAGCAAATTATTTTATTCAGTTCTCTAATTTAACTCCCTCTTTTTACCGATTGGATTTCTGTATATTTACAGGGTCACAAATCAGAACACAGATTTAGTTGCACCTTCATCTAGTTAATGGGCACAATGACTATTGTGCTGGGAATAAAATGACATAATAAATGTAAAAAGCATATAAAAAACAATGAATAGATGTTTATTTGCTATGTTATTTGAAGACCTGTCTGTAACCTCATAGGTTTTATTGGCTTCCCCTTAGTACTGGGAATGAGTTGGCTACTTTACACTCAAAACAGGATCCCTAGACTCCTCATGTTTACTTTAATTGAAGAAAAATAAGTTCCCCTGGCCCTTTTCCACCTTTCACTTACGTGCCTTTCAGCCTTGGGTCACAACTACATGTGTAGCCATGAGCATTTTGTGTGTTTGAGTATTGTTGCCCTCCCTCTTGGAGGTAGGAACCCAGAATAACACAAACTCGGGGAACAAACAGGCCCTTCTTTTGTCTCCCAGTTCTTATTCTAGATTCATGACACCACAAGAAAATACGGATTATGGAGGGACTTGCAAAAGCAGTAAACTCTGAGGGATTGGGAGTAAGGGGTGAGAGGTTTTGATTTGCAGTGGTTCTGGAATACTGGATGCTTTCTCAAATCATTAGGAGCTTTAAAATATACCCATGCTCACACCTTGTCTTCCAGTGTGGTGCTATATACCCTCTCCACTTCCCTGCAAAAAACACATACAGGTCCTCTATAAGGCTTACTAAAGCTGAATTTCATGTGCTTGTTTTTTTAAAAACCTCTTAAGTATCATTTTATGCAGCTAAGGTTGAGGACCTCAGACATAGTTGTGTTCTAGTATTTTGCTAAAGAAGGTTTTCTTTAAAGCAGTAACATATTATCTATTGGCAATTGGGAAAGTAATCTCTAAAGCGCTTCTGGGTGAATTTTTGGAATGTGAGTGTAGCTTATTGTGATAATAAATACTACACTTTAAAAAAAAAAACACAATTTCCTGATGTACTAGTACTCATGTAAAGAAAAATTTTTTAAAATACAAAAACAAACCAAAAACTTAAGGCCCTGTGCTGGGGGACTTGGCTGTGTGGTATAGTGGTTTGAATCCCAACTGTATAACTGACAGGCCTCTAGGTAATTTGATCTGGACTACCCTTTTCTCTCGGGTAACCCTGCCCCAGGCTATTTTCTTGGACTGTGAGGAGTGGTGGTTGGAGTTGGTGGTGGAAGGCATGTTCTGTTACCAGACAGGTAAAGAATAAGAGTCCCACTTAACTTCAGACACCATAATTAAATCTGGAAGTGAAATGACCACTTGTCAGGGCCCGTTTTTCTTTATTTAGCAAATAAACTTGAAATCTGTACTT